TAAGTATTTTCTGGATTTCGAAAAGGAAATCTCGATGGCCGCTTTAAAATCCTATTTTTGCAAATACTTGCATAGTTTCTGTTGAAAATGAAATTTGTGCAAATATAATTTTCAATGATACCAATAAAAATATTGGATTGTTTTTAGATTATCAATAAAATTACTTCCTTGAAGTTGGTCATTGTTTCCCCTAAAATGTCCATATCGCCGATGTTTCTCAGGAAAACACAATGTTAAATAATAAGTTAATGCATAAGTTATCTTCATCATAAACGGTAAAATCAGCAATTTTCAAGTGATGTTGCTATTGACAAAACTTTTGTAACAAATGTTACAAATATACATGTTTGTTATGAAAAATGCCGTATGTTGTCCTTAAGTTTTATTTAGAAATACGGGAGAGGCGCCGTTTTATACCTGTCCGCAATAGAAGTTCGTAAATACTCAGAGAGGGGCGGGGCGTTATGCTTGACTTAAAATCGTTTAACTTTGTGAATCTACTTTTGTCATTTTAAACATGTTACTGTGTTAACGTACTGTTGTAGTTCTACAACTGGTAACTCGTTTTCTTAAACTCTTTTTGTCTGTATTTAAGATTTACATTTCATTTGTATATTTCAGATCTATAAGTGTGCAAACATGCATATGTATTGCATGCAATGGAAGATAAGAACTTGTAAATTTGTTGTCGTTTTCCATGTTAGGTCAGTTGTTACGATCTATATGTAAACTTGTAATATAAAGGCGGGAACCTTCAATTAAAAGATTGAATTAAGAGACATATTATGTGCTATGCAAGGGTACAATAAAAAATGGTAGGAATATAAGTTCGAATTTTCAAAAGTCATTTTAAAAAGGAACACTTTACATGTCTGGAATTTTGGCAACGAACGCCCTCCATAGTTCTCAACATCAAACATACGCGAATCAATAAGTGTGAAGGACCAGAATTATGTTACTACATTGATTAAAAGTGAACAGTAACAAAAAGTTTATTCAAGAAAATCTCAAATAAATTATTCAGTAATTATCCATGCACGAATATTAGATTTTGGACAACAATCTAAAATGTCATCTAGAAAAAAATGGTATTGCTAAAAGTTAAATAGGCATACCTCCAGTGGTTGATTAGAATTCAAATCAAGTGTTTTGCCAGTGATGACACGAAGGTGAGTACGTCATTAAATAATCAAGCTAAATATGTATCATTACATTAGAAAGAAACAAATATTTTTTTTCATTGTTTGGATAGGTTGTGATTCTTATTAACTTGTTCAATCATTCCATTGCTTTTAATATCCGATTCATTCCATTGCTTTTCATATCCGAAATCTGTTTGATAGCACCAGGTGGCTTAATATGTACCTCGGGTGAAAATTGATTACACGAAAACCTGTAAAGACTTAAAGACTTGCCAGCACTATTAAGTGTTAAGAATTGAGTACCGCCCAAGTCGGTGCTAGGGAGTGTGAGGGATGTTGCACTTATTCATTATCCCTCCTGTACAAACTTAATCAAACCGTGTCTGCAATTCTTATGTAATTTTGTTGTGTTTAATACTTCCGAGGAATCACTTTGTTTCCACTTCACAACAGCAGGTGTCAAGTGCCGTGTGGAAGCTGTAAAAAAAAACTTGCCCCGTACTTCACTTCAGTGTTGTTATATTTTCTGGTCCTACGGGATCATTGATGCCAGCACTATTAAGTGTTGAGAATTGAGGTGCTAGAGGGCGTGAAGGATGTTGCTCGTATTCATTATCCCACATGTACAGACTCAATCAAACCGACTCTGCAATTCTTATGTAATTTTGTTGTGATTAATGCTTCCGAGGGATCACTTTGTTCCTAGAAATCGCAACCCCTAACTGACGTGTCTTAAATATATTACTACAGTCGATATGTAATTTTGTTGTGATTAATGCTTCCGAGGGATCACTTTGTTCCTAGAAATCGCAACCCCTAACTGACGTGTCTTAAATATATTACTTCAAGTCTGAAAAATATGTATTCTGTATGTAATGAATAGAAAACCCTGCTCTTAGCTATATTAATATCACTATTTTACTTTACATTGGGAAAATGCTATATTTTCCATTGTTAATTTCAAATGAATAATTAATATTTTTTAACATTTTTGAAAAAATGTACACAAACTAATTCAGGCAATTACTAATTACTTTAGACTAGCATGTATGTGTTTTAAACATAATGTTATTACTGATTTAAATTTAAACAGAAAAGGCTCTGACATGACATATAAGTATTTCCTGTAAAGGACTCTTTATGCAATGTTTGTGTCTTGTAAGCTGGGAAAGTACACTGCCAGTTCTTTCTCAGTAGCATACTTCAATATTCCCCTCAACCCATTCACAAGTGTGTCACTTAAATTTCGCAGCAAAATCTCTGGACATTCAAGCTTCAACCATAATCTTTTAGGCGCTGTCAAAGATTTCAGCTCTGCTCCATTCCCATTGTTTGTTGCTTTGGACTCAAACAGGTCTCCAGGAGAATTCAGTAAACACTGGTGATTGTATGTATCCACTGATAAATTGGTTGAAAATAATTTAACGTTGTCACAATTGCCTGGTAAAGGTTTATTGACACTGTTCATGAATTCTATGAAACATTCTGTTAAATTGCTTTGAAATGTATCAGATTTAACTTTAACAAAATGTTCCTCATCCTGTCGCACATTTTGAGTTAATGTTACTGTGTGAGAGAAACAAGTTTGAAAGAACTCACTTAAAAATCAATATGTGCCATCGTCATTGTACCTTTTGTTCGGTACAGGTGGGAGATGACAAAGTCACCACTGAATATAATTTGAATACCTTCAAATATTTTACATGGATTTTTAATTTCACAAACCTTCTTTATGGACTTAAATATACGTTTACTTATCATAGAACATTCATCTACTATTAAAAAATAGATAAATACAGAATCCCTAAAGAAAGCCCAACACAGCAAAATTGAAAATGTTGCAGGGTCGGTTTGATTGAGCCTGTTCATGAAAGGTACTGGAAAGTGCAAGTTACCGTCCACGCCCCTAGCACCGGCTTTAGCAGAATTCAACATTTAAACGTGAAATGATAAAATTTTGAATTTAGAAACAACCGCAGATGTGTTCATACGGCGGTTATCATGGAACCTTCAATGTGACACTTTCGTGCCATTCCATGAAAAGCGGCGTATGGTCCCCAAGTAATAAAAAGCGTGTGCCCTAAACGAGAAAACAATGGGCGGAATTAAATAAAATGGAATTTTGAAAGGGGATCAGAGGTTATGAAACCTGCGTATCACAGAAAAGACATCAAAAGACAAATTTAAAAAGCAGACAACATATCCTAAGGGTGATTCAACATTATTCAAGTAGTAGGAATATTGGAACCACCCAACTAGAAAATGCCGAAATACATCTGTTGTCATAATTGCATCTATAATCTTGTCACACTTGGCATTGTTTTTTAATACTGACACATTCGGATCATGCCTTCCATCATCTATTCCAGTGAAGTTGTGTATTGTCATTGGTTTTAAATGGGTTGGGTACACTGCACATGCTATGCCCATGCTGCATGTCAGTTTTACTTGTTTACCTTTTTCAGTCAATGCCTTACAAATTTCAGTAATAAAATGGCCTTTACCAGTACCAGCCGATCCTTATAGAAGGTTGTGTCCATCAGTTGCAATGCTTAAAGCATCTCTTTGTTTTTGGTTTAAAGTCATTTTCATTTATATTTTTCGTAACGAGCAATGCACATTTGTTTACATTGCAGCTTCGTAGAAACCTACCTTGCAGGACAGGAAACAGTAATCAACCAATGAAATTTTCCGTTGCAAATTGGTCACGTGATAAATCAATGGATTCGGATTACAACTTTCATTTTCACATTCAGAAATAAGTTGTTTTAACTGTTATAAAACATTTTAAAAATCAATATCCAGCGGTAAGTTGTTTCTTTGAATGTGTTTTATCGATTTATTGCGGGATGATACACTGTCATTGTTTGGAATTGCGTTTTTACACGTAGAAAATTGGGACTGGTTACACGGTCGTGCCCGACCAAGCAAAAATACGATTTTCCATCTGAAATATCGCTTTGTTGTTCACAAAGGGTTTAAGTAGGGACAAAATGTTATTGTCAACGTCTAGTGATGTCATTCAGTTTCAATTTGATAGCTTTATATGATTTACGTAAGAATGACTTTGTAATTTTGACTTGTATTGGACTAATGACAATTGACCGATTTGGCGTGTTCAACCCCTTGTCTATATATTATATATACAGTTTATATTTTTTCTTGAATTACTTTTTTACACTCTCCTAACACTGTGCTGGGCCCCTCTGATTGTGATTGCCTTCTTTCAACGCTTGAATATGCGTCATTTATATGGGATAAATGTACAAAATATGAAAAAGAAACTTTAAAAATACTACATTACGAAGAACTGATGTTTTAACGGGTGTAATTAGATCTGGTTTAGTTCAAATTATTTTGAAAGAAGTAGGATAAGGATATATATCAAGGATATATATCAAATGACAGAAGTTATATTGAAAAAAAATAGAACACATTACCTTTGAACGTAATAGCAATAGTCGGAAAAATGATCCTTTACATCAATACTGATTGCGACACGACATTTATGCTAATTATGCTTAATTAACCAGATGAACAGAAATATTATGGTATGTCCGTCATTCAATCCTATATATTACCTTGGAACGAATTACCAACTTATACAAGTTTAGCCTTCCAACATTTCTTCTAGGGCAACACTAGATTATTTATAAATATGGTAATAAAGCAGATTTAACTCTAAACATCTTTGTTGATAAAAACCTAGTAGAGTTCTCAACAACATAAAGTTATTAGAATGTTGCTTATGTCAAATCATCATTTATTTTGAATACTCTTCAGGGTTTAAAATTAAAACACATGTACATACATGATTCCGTGATTCCAAACAAACAAACAAACAAACAAAGACTATAGTTACCTTTAAATGAATTGTAATTATTGTGCTCTTAAATCCCTAACAGTAAAAATCGGTGGGCGCGCACTAACGCACTAACCCTCACTTTCTACATTCTTTTAATTGTGAAAACATAGACAACAGTACATTGTTGCTTGAACTTTGAAACGGGCTATAACTCATAAACACATAAAACTAATAAAACATTAACGTACGAGTATATATATCTTATCACAACGGCTGTTTGCCTTATTATACAACCAATTATACTATTAAATCTGTATAATATACGTATATTATTTATACACATACATAATTTATCAGAAGAGTATTTTATCATCCATTGAGGTTTTATCAAGTTTTATACAACTGGTACAACGTATTCTTCAATCAGACCTTCTGACTTCACGTTATTATATCTTATTATGTCACATTATTAGTCCCCTACCGGTTTAACCGGAGGGGACTTTAGGTTTACCCTCCGTCCGTCTGTCCGTCTGTCTGTCTGTCCGTCTGTCTGTCAGTCCGTCCGTCCACAAAACTGGATCCCGCGATAACGCAAAAAGTACTGAAAATATTTTTATGAAACTTGATATATGGATAGATGGCAGTATGGAGATTATGCACGTCTTTTTTTTTCTTCCTATGTTGAAAATTCTGGTTGCTATGGCAACAAATAGTCTGAAAATATGTCAAATTTAACACATAAACTGGATCCAGTGATAACTCAAAAAGTACTGAAAATATTTTTATGAAACTTGAAATATGGGTAGATGGCAGTCTGGAGATTATGCACATCTTTTTCTTTTCTTCCTATGTTGAAAATTCTGGTTGCTATGGCAACAAATAGCCTGAATTTCAAGATTTCTGATTTAAATTTTTCAGCTTTTTCACTATATGTTCTTTATTTCTTAAGGTGTTTACTTCAAACTTTAAATATAAGTTTCTGGTCATCAACCACATCATATGTGACAAGGTTTATAACTCTAGCACAAAAAAATATCAGTATTACCTCCCTTGAACTTAGATTTTTTAGGGGAAAAAATGTTGTCTTTTTTAAATAACTTCTTTATTTCCAAATGTATCTACTTCAAACTTCATATATATGTTTCTTATTATCACTCGACATTTTTGAGAAGGTTAAATACTCTAGCAAGACTATTTCCAGAATTATGTCCCCCTTGAACTTAGATTTTTTTCGAGAAACTGGTATTTTCACTCCAACTTCTTCATTCCTTATAGGATTTACTTTAAAATCCCACATCGTAATAATATGACAAGGTTGTATAAACAAAATTTCCTTACTAAGCATGGAAACTTAACACATTACTGTGATATAGACAAACTTATTTTATTATGTTTTGTGGTTGATATTTTCAAATACAGACTTCATCCTCAAATTCATTATAAATGGCAATACACAGGAGTGTATGACAATTAAAGAACTTTTTGAGGGACCGGTAGGGGACTCCTGTATTGCCCGCAATACTATCAAATGCTTGTTATAATTATTTCACAATTCTACAATGCTGCTATAATTCTACAATGCTGTTACAATTTGTTATCCATCTGTTTCATTCTCTCATATCTAAACTTATGTTTCGACGTTTTCATCATTTTACTATAGACCTTGTCAAAATGTTCATTTTGTGCTACTGTAAACCAGTTCTTCCAGTCTCCCACGTCACCTGAAAATATGAATATTGATTGGTGTATTCATTGATGAAAAATATCATTCAGTTATAACCATGTCAATTTATAAATATGGGATTTAACATTTCTTTATATTCTATTAAAGGTACTGTGTGACATATATAAAGGATACTTAAGTTATCTTACTACAAACATTTTGATTGCCAAATTATCTCAGAGTGTAACAGCTATATTTGCCATAATTTGATTTGCATTGTCTTCATATTTTATGCACAAAGTCTCAAAACTGTTTTATTTTTAGACACAATGAAGAAGTTTAAGCTTGTTTAGTATATGTAGTATGTTTTTCAACAAAAAAGAAACTTTCGAAAACGCAAGAATATTGCAAAAAATGTCTCAATAACTTCTGATGTAATGTTTGTTTCTATAAACATCTACTGTACTTTTTTTTCTCTCTCTCTACAAACCTTTCCTATAGAATGAGAAAGTTTCTTCATCACCACACGGATATAAATACTCCTGTTTATCTTTTGCCATATTATCAAATTGACATTTTCTACTAATGGCTTCAAAAAGACCGTCTTTGTCATCAACGCCAAGAAACCTTCCGAGACGGGATACTTCCAAAAGAGAGTTCTGTTTTTTTGTAAAAAAATGTTGCTTTAAAATTGCTACATAAAACTATATAAAATGAAAATATAATTCTGTAATTAAAATATATTTCTGAAAATAATTAGACATATCGTGTCATGGGAGACAATTGTTTTTTCGTGGTGTTTTGGACGAAAGTTTGAAGGCACAGTATGCCTAACAAATATTTTCTCTTCTTGAGTTGAGACTTACACGAGTTTAATGATATTTTATAAATCATTCAAAATTACATTAATGTTTATCAGCTCAGATAAGAAGAGCTTTATGTGAAATCATATGCAATAAATGTAGAAAAATTGTTAATAAGTAGTATTTTGACTTTCATAAAAACTACTCACTCACTATAATTACACTAGTCTTATGTCCAAACAGTAACAGAAGCAGTAGATAGTTCAGATATAGAGGATATTAAATGAGTGTAGATTCAATACTGAAATTATTAAACGAGTTGTATTTTATGCCAGCTTCTGGCGAGCATTATAATTGTTTTTTCAACGAGTTCAATAAATTAAGTAATCAATCTTCACGAATATAATATTCTGTTTATAACATAACCAACATTAAATCTGTTTACATTGATAATAATCCTCGTTTGTTCTAGCAGCGCAAATGCCATCACGTCAAAATATATGTACGACCATGCAGTACAGTTTTACGGAGTCGCAAAAGTGACATGGGCATGTGAAAAATACAACTATTTCGGTATTTTAGAATTGTAATTGAACATTAAAATTCAGGGGTATTTGATAAAATTAGCATTTTAGTCATAATGAGTCCTTAAATGTTTATAATTGTGACATAAAATGTAAATGATTACATATTTTTGAAATTGCCTACACAGAAGAAGTATTGTTTTATCACTCAATAGTTACATCAAAAGTATCTTAATCTTATTATTTTAACATAAGTTCAATTTCGATGAATTATAGAAAATTATCCTTAAGTTACCTCTTTTAGGTCCTCATAATAGACTAGATGTATGGGAAGTTCAGGTGAAGTCGACATTTCTCTCTCCCACTCTAAGACATATTCGAACCAACTGTTGTATTCCGCTGATATAACAAACAGAAACATTCTTGTCAAGCTCAATATCTTTCCTCGATAATTATTTTCAATTGATTATAAACAACAGTGGCCATATGTTTCTTTTCTAAATGCTTTACCTTTTAAACGCTCTTACTTCATCATTGTTAAGTTCTGGTCCTAAACTCAAGTACATTGACAGTTTGAAATCCTACCTAAAAATGTTATTTGTTCTTTTTTGTCCTTGGTGGTCCTTTCTTTAATTTACAAGTTCTATGTTATCAAAGAAAAGTAAATAAAATCATTTATACTATTAACTATAGCATCTTTATTTGATAATTGAACTTACTTCTTCCTTGTAAGAACAACGGAAGAAAGTGATCCCATTTGCCGTCGTAATTGTACAAAGTTATACCCTTAGTATGATTGTATAGGGATACAGCCAAATCCTTCGGATTTCGAAGCACGTAAATCATTTTGCAACCGAGTTCTTTTGCTTTCTCTGGAAGGCGACTGTAATAGACATGGGTGTTTAGTACCTGAAATAATAAAAGGATTAATTGTTTATAACTTAAGTAAGAAAATGTTTCTAGTAAAACTTTAAAACTCTGTTAAAAATTTACCAACGACATCAAAAGATAGAATAAATGCCAAATTTATCCAACACTTCTGCGACGAATGCTCAATGTTCAGCCGCCCATGAGATGGACCTACCGCTTCCTAGTGTGTTGGGACCATCTTCTGTTTAAGACTATTGTCGTATATTATTTGCGTTTTAAGTAATGCGCGGCTATATGCACAGTTTGGTATAGAGTTGGAGTTTTGTGACATTCTGCTCAATTAGTAATATCTAGCTGCCTTTGTATTAGAGGTAATTGGTTAAAATATTATTGTAGTCTTATATAAAGCAGATATACCCGAGGGGATGGCAAACTTTCCAGTAAGTCCCAAGAAGAGCCCTCCAGCATATTTTCAATTTTGCTTCTTTCAATAGTTTCGGCTTTCCCTTTAAACATCATGGAAATAATTTCCCATGTCCAGTGTGTACCTGCAAGAAACACTAAAGTTTTATTTCGTTTAAAAACCAATAATTTATTGAGTGTTGAAACGTTACAACATTTGTTTTGTTCAATTGTAATGATATGATATCAAACTTTATAAATCGAACATACTGTCTATTTTCCATATGTACCAAGAAGTTAGCACTGACATCGAAGATCGGAATTCAGCTTTTAATTAATTTCGACCTTTAAACTTCGAGATAGCTCGAAACTCAAAATTCAAAGAAAACAAAAGCTAAAATTGCAACCAGCCTTTAATTTTGAGTTAGCTCGAAGATCGAAATTTAAAGTAAGCTAAGCCAATTCCCGCGCTTGAGTTGAATTTCGAGCTGGCTCGAAGATCGAAATTCAAATTTTGCAAAGCTGGAGTTGAATTTCGAGCTGTCTCAAAGATCGAACGTCGAAACTTGCAAAAGCCGAATTTCGAGCTGGAGTTGAATTTCAACCTGGCTCGAAGATCGAAATCAAAATTTGCAAAAGCTGAATTTCGAGGAGTTGAATTTCGAAGTAGCTTAATTTGAAGATAGAACTTAGATCGAATTTCGAGCTCGATTTGAATTTTGAGCTGGCTCTAAGATCGGAATTCAACATTTTCAAAAGACGAATTTCGAGCTGGATCGAAATTCGCATAAGTCGAATTTCGAGCTGGACTAGCATTTCGAGCTGGCTGGAAATTCGAAATTCAAAGTAAGCAAAAGTGAATTTCCAGCAAGGGTTAAATTTTGATTGGGCTCGAAGATCGAAATTTAAAGTTAACATAAACTGAACTTCGAGCTGAAGTTGAATTTCGGGCTTGCTCGAAGATCGAAATTCAAAATTTGCTTAAGTCGAATTTCGAGCTTGAGTTGAATTTCGATCTAGCTCGAAGATGGAAACTCGAAATTTTCAAAAGCCGAATTTCGAGCTGGAGTTAAAGTTCGAGCTGGCACGAAGATCTTAATTGAAAATTCGTTAAGGGCCGAATTTCGAGCTGGAGTTGAATTTCGTGCTGGCTTAAAGATCGAAATTCAAGTTTAATTTGAGCTAAAGTGGAAATTCGAGCTAGCTCAAAGATCGAATTTCAAAATTTGTAAAAGCCGAATTTCGAGCTGAAGTTTAATTTCCAGTCAGCTCGAAGATCGAAATTCAAAATTTGCAAAAGCTGTATTTCGAGCTGGAGTTTAATTTCCATTATCGAAATGAAAAAAAAAATGCAATAGCCTAATTTCGAACTGGAGTTGAAGGTGGCTCGAAGATCGAAATCTAAAATTTTAAAATGTCGAATTTCGAATGGACAGGTATAGAGCAAGAAAAACGAATTCAGTAATGGTGGTTATTCTGAAATTTGTATTAGTTAAGGTCAGATGACACTAACGTCAAAAAAAGAAGAAATATATTTGTGTAAATTATAATACCAATACATAGATAAAAGTTTTCTTTGCATGACCTGTTTTGCTATACTGGATATTTTAAGTTACCGTAATATACTTATAACACGTGTGTAACATTGCATGAAAAAGCATGCACGTATATTCTTTTCCATTTGTTAGAAAATAAGTATTTTTTTTATTTAGTCGTCACTAAATGTACATGTATAAAAGGACGATGTTTTATAAAATTGCTAAAACAACGAAGAGTAGTTTTAACTTAGTTGTTTTTTTTTGTGATGGACTTTATATGCATGGTATTCTTCTCTCATCTAAAATATCTTTTTCGTTTATAAGTTAAAATGCTCTTTGAATATTTGCGAGTGGTGATGATCGAACGTATCTTTGTACATGTTATAGGCGAAAGTTCATCGCCAAGGTATTGTGGAACTAAGTAGGTCACCTATGATGAATATTCCAATGTTCATGTTTAAAATAAATGATTTTATACATAGTCTAGTCTTAACTTTCGCGTAAGCTTAAGACAACAATATACACCGATATGTCATTATTTTACAATTATAAAATAATTTCACCTGTTATTCTATCTTTTATATTTTAATGTAACTAAACTATGCATATGTATATTATTTTCATATGTTGTATGTACATTGTATATACTTTGTAAACATGTTACGCTTTACAATTTTTTGGGATTATAAAATTTAATTAAAAAAGATTTCAAAGCAAGTTAGCTTCATTGCTGAAGCCTTATATTCAATCATGCTCTTTACTTTTAACATATTCTGGTTGTTTACGTGCTTATCGCTGGCTGGGACAAAAAACAATTAGTTAATAGTTAGAGAAAAGTAATACATTTTATGGTAAAACATTTTAAAAGCATTTTGATCTAATCAATATGAAAATCTAACAGTTTAAGAGCAAATTATTTGCAAAATGTACCATGTAAATGATTAGAGGCGTACATATTAAAATTTATGACATATTAAGGTAAAAACTTTATTTATGCATGAGAGATTTCATCTCCGGTTAAATGTATAAAAGCATTAAATCTAAGTAAAGTAGATCATGCCTGTGTTAAATACGAAATGTTCCTTTCTGTATATGTTCATATTTTGCTGGTTTTATTGCTTGCATAATGTCATTATACGGGTTTTTGACAGCAAAGTACTCGTTAACTCAACTACATGTCAATATGATCAAGATCTTATAATATGACTAATTCATTGAAGCATAATACTATTGTTTATATATAGTCCAATCTTCAATGTATACGTTACTAACTGTCGTATTTTTTCCTGCCTAAAATGAGAACATGATAGTAGGTTTATAGAACTCCATAAAATCCATGATTTTATCTGTTTAACTGAGTTGACTACAATCATAATTAATTGTTCCTGGTCATTGTGTCATTTCTCTTATGACAAGATCAGCTGATTTTTCTTATTGATTAAGCGGATATGTTAACACTTTCACAATTTTCATGACTTACTAATAAACATATAGATTCTATAAATGTTTATTCAAACGGCCCTTCATTTTCCTAAAGGTTTTCTTGTCATTTGCTTTGCGACCACATATATTTTAAATGTTTAATTCTTCTACTTACATCTTGATGATTATTGTCATTTTAACTATCTGATAAAACCTGTTCTTTTATTGGCGCAATACTCGTACTATAGTTCAAAAGTGTAAATTAAACAAGTTAACAATTCTTATAAATGATAATCATTTTTGCACAAAACAAACTGATTTACATGCGAAATACAATTTGAGATGATAGAACCTAATTTAAAACATATAGATGATTTTATACCTCCGATTAGAAATGGGATGAAGAGTCTTTAAAATGGCTTATTTCATTTGAAATTAAGGTTTATTTATAATTATTATATGTATCAATGACTCCTGTCAATAAATGAGGTAAGTCATGTAAATTGAATGAAACTCCATTTCGAAATTCGACTTTATAAAAATTTTGATTTGATCTTCGAGCTAGCTCAAATTCCACTTCAGCTCAAAATTCGACTTTAAAAAAGTTTGGATTTCGATCTTCGACCAAGCTCAAAATAAAAGTCCAGTTCGAAATCGGCCTTTCTCAAATTTTGAATTTCGATCTTCGATTCAGCTCGAAATTCAACAGCATCTCGAAATTCGTCTATTGCAATTCTTTTTTATTTGGATCATCGAGCTGATTGGAAATTAAACGCTAGCTCGAAATTCAACTTTTGAAAATTTTGAATTTCGATCTTCGAGCCAGGTCAAAATTCAACTCCAAATCGAAATTCGGTCTTTACAAAATTTGAATTTCAATCTTCAAGCCAACTCGAAATTCAACTCCCGCTTGAAATTCGGCCTTTGTGACTCTGAATTTCAATTTTCGAGCAAGCTCAAAATTCAACTCCAGCTCGAAATTCAGCTTTTGTTTATTTTAATTTTGATCTCCGAGCTAGGTCGGAATTCACTATACACTGAAGTTTGATCTTCGATCTTCGATGTCTTTGCTAATTTCTAGATACTTTATCCATTTATGATTAAACAGATGTTAATGAATAAAGCTATAACAATTATTTAGCTAATTAAAGTTAAGTCACTATGTTTTGGTCAATAAACATTTCGGGATTTATTTAAAAAGACATACGGTAAAGTAAACAATTTTTGGTTCACACAACTCATAGGACAAGTAAAATGCATATATTTTAAATAAAAGAAATAAAAACATGGTAGCCGGTTGCCGACTGTTTGCTTTTCGGAAGTCCTGGCTGACTGTATTTTGTCGTCGCAATTCCTTTTTGTTCCTTTAAGCTAATCTTTTCAGTATGTGTGCTACATGAAGAAATAAAAACATTTACCTGACTTAACAGGTGCGCATATAAAAACATCATCTGGTCTACATTTGAAGTTTGTCATTTCTCTGATTCTCTTCGCGATTTCTGTTGGTTTTCCAAATGTACAAGTTGTATAGCCGTCGGTATCCAGGTAGGTTATACTGTGACCATCGCCATCATCTTGTTTATATTCCGTCATTATTTCCTGGCTTCTTAAAGTGTGTACAACTACAGATATCCATGTAATGACATTAACACTGATTTCAAACACAATCTCTGATCAATTAAAATCATTATTATAAATAAAAACTTCAAAGGTTTGATATACATATATCATTTATTACTATGTTACTGATCTGCACTACTTCAAGATGTTCATACAAATATATCAACTGCGTTGCAAGATGTTTATTATAAATTTGATAAGAAAATGTTTTTACGTTTTAGACAAAAATATATTTTATTTTATTTTCCAGTTTATAACCCTTCTTACTGAAATAGAAAAACTGAGTAACTCTTGCAATCGACTGAAAAATTTATTCTGTGAGCTTTATCTTGTCGATACTGTATTATAGGGCATGCATGAACGTGTATGTGCATATGCTAAGACGGCAATAAGGATATTTTGTAGTTTTGTAGAGGCATTTTATCATGTGTTTTCGTGTCAAAAGCTGAGACAAATTTGCGTTTTAAAAAATGTCCTTACTTATGATTCATATGTTATAACTCCTTCAATTTCTGAATAGCGCTGCTTATCTATGAAAATTAACACATTGTGGATCAAAGCGCGTGTCATTGAATATCTTACTTTCTTCATGAATTAAATATGATTGAAGTATAGAGTCTTTGACCAAAAATAAAAATGAAGATAGAACTATTATTTAATATCAAGTTATATAACGTCCTAGGTCCTAAGCTAAAATATGACGTTCTGTTTATCACAGCGTTGTTTATATCATAAAACCAGGCAAAAAAATTGCCGTTGCAATCAAATTTGAGCATTGAGTCAAATGATAATTTTTCTCTTAACGCTTACTATAGAAATTTTGTGAGATTTGAGTCGCCCACTTGCGGTGAAAATGATAATTACTATTTAGATATCCAGTGAAGCTGATATGTCAGTAAATATTTGCGTACGAAAGTCAGACAAAGAATAAAAACACGAACACACACACACATGCACACGCACACACACGCACGCACGCACGCACGCACACACACACACACACACACACAGTCCGGAAATTCAATTGTTATAGAAATCAATGTAAATGCCTTAAAATGTTTCGATAAAAGATAACTGCCATCGTAAGATCAATTAACTTATATAGCATCGGTAACAGTAATCCTCTTTGAACAAATAACCATATTAGAAAAAGATACCTTTTTACGTCCAAATGCAAATAAAAAATAATCGTCCTTTTTCTTGAAATTATAATTGTTTGTCTATTGCGTCAGACACACATATCGTACTTAAATGATATACGTTACATTGAATGTTTAACACGAAACACTATTTGCGCCCACGTTATCGAAGTGTATAAAAACTGAACCAAGTTTATACATAACATATGCATACTTTTATGGGTTTTTAATGAGATCATTTTACTTGATTACAAGTTAAATGTTGATCCTGAGCATCAAAGACGCAATCAAAGTCACAGTGAACAGTCACAGGTAATTTACAAAATCAGCCTTGAAAATCGTTCTCTATTACAGTTGAGTAACCGAATCGCTAATATTTTTTCTCCATGTTCTTGGTATGTGCTCATTGTTTAATAATTGAGTTGGATATTTTTGGGGAAAAAGTAGAACCAAATGCATAAATTCACAAAGTAATGCCATGTCTGAAATACTGAAATGTTTGTCTGTTGCGACAAAGAGTAAAAGGTCTGGTCGAAGCAAAACAAAATGGATAACAAGTGAAATTGAAATTATTGGTTTACTTAAAATAAGTTCAAGACAAAGGCAGAGGTAAAGAAAATATCTTCGTTGTGCCGAGAATATGTCCATTTAAATATTGGTGCGAATTGCATAATTAGGTTCGAATGTTTTTAAGGACGAACTGTTCTATAGATGGGTCTGTCTGAAACTTAATGGTTGAGCTAGGCGGTTGATACAGAACCGCTTCTCTGATATTAGGCGTGCGCTAGGATGGGTCTAAATGTTGTAGATAGTGATATTGATCATATTTGTCCTGGTTCCCTTCCCTCCGTCAACGAAGACTAAATGCTAGCATACAGAGCATCATATTAATATGGCGACAATTTAAGGCGGCGTCGAAGTTCAATACAGGCGGAGCAAATGAAGTAAGTTACACTGCCCCAGTCGTTACCTCTCTCAACTGTTAAGTTTTTGAACGATCAAATATTACCTGGCCCATTGGCACGTTTTTTGTTCGGTAAATAAAATTAGATAATGATAAAAGGAATATGATATTCAAACATGGCATTTTCACTTCAGTTAAATTCCTTAATTTCTTAAAGCTCGGTGACATGTTGTACGTAAGAAAAGCTATTTTAATTAGAAAATTTGAAAACAATGTGATTTTGTTAAAACAAAAAAAAAAAAAAAAAAACAACAAAAAAGCACAAAATTAAGTCTAAAATGTTCTCCATTGCTAAGTAGACGAATGCATATCTACTAGACACCGCGTGCACACGGCATCTTATGATGTAAGGTTTGGTAAATTAACTACGGAACAATGTAAAGGCCATCGCCCAAGAGCGTGTTGCCCTGAAACACAAATCACGACAGTACTGTAAAGGAAACACCAAATCAACACCGTGCGATAGCAACAACTCGACAGTACGATAACGGAAATAAAACGTACGATAACGAAAAAAGGTACACTACCACTTTGATGAAATTGCGAGAGTGTCGTGCTTTTATGGGATCATACTGTAGCCATATCTGTATTGCCCTGTCATGTTATTTCACTGAAGAACTGCCAAAATATAATGGTACAGACTCCCAAATATACTTGATGGTTGTCCTGCTTGACGAATGTCGTGCAAACTACTTAATTTATGTTCAGTTAGAATATGATGAAAGGTTATCTTAACAGTAAGTATAATAATGTTCAGTAAAACTTAGCACATACATGTCTTAAAGAAAATAAGTAAAATGAATCACTTTTTAAAATAAACTAAAATGAATGAATTACACAATACATAAATAAAGTAATAACACATGATACAGAATTTGCATTACAAAGCGTGTATATTAGAATTACATATTTTGGAACATATGAGCCGTGTCATGACAAAACAACATAGTTGATTTGCGACCAGCATGCATCCAGACCAGCCTGCGCATCCGCGCAGTCTGAGCAGGACTCATGCTGTTCGCTTACAAACCCTATGAAAGTAGAGAAACTGATAGCGAACAGCATGGATCCTGATCAGACTGCGCGGTGACGATTTGGTGTAGTTCTTGACCATGAATTGTGTGAAAATCATATTGGTTTATTCGCCTTAAAATTATTTTCAATTTATTGTTCAAAATGACCAAAAAAATTAATGAAAAGCGTTTTAAATCCATTAAAAATTTCTGATACAAGTTTGCCTTAAATTCTCTTAAAATATTTCATTTAAAAAATAGGCACAGTTTTATAAAGGTAAGAAAACAAGCCACACTTTATTCGTTCTTGAAGTTTGCACAAACACTTAATGCTTTACTTGATCTTTGTAAGAATGTAAAAAAGTATGTTTTATGTCTATGCTTAGCTAGTGCGCAGCACTTAAGCGTTTTCCTTTAAGAAACTGTTTTTTCATGTTATCTTTGCATCTGACATTATAAAAAAAAACAAGCACAACAACCTGATCTCACACGTTCACATAATTTATCAGAAAATTTTATAATCCATTTGAGGTTTTATCAAGTTTTATACAACTGGTACAACGTATTCTTCATTCACTTCTGAATTCACGTCATTTTAGGTAATTATGTCACATTATTATAATTATGTCACAATTCTACAATGCTGTCACAATTTGTTATCCATCTGTTTCATTCTCTCATATCTAAACTTATGTTTCGACGTTTTCGTCATCTCATTATAAATTGTCAAAATATTCATTTTGTGCTACTGTAAACCAATTTTTCCCACGTCACCTGAAAATATGAATATTGATTGGTGTATTCATTGATGAAAAATATCATTCAGTAATTTTTAAAATGACACTTTATAAATATGGGATTTAATATTTCTTTTTATCTTTTTATTTCAGTTAAGGTATTTTTGTGGCATATGTAAAGTTATCTTATTAAAACACATTTTAATTTCAAAAAGATCTAAAAGTATAACAGTATATCTGATATAATTTGGTTTGCATTGTATTTCATTTTTCAGGGACAAAGTTTCGTACATGTTTTATTTTTAGACACAAGAAGTTAAAGCTTGTTAGGTAGTACGTTTTCAGCAAAAAAACTTTTGAAAAAGGAAGAACATTACCACAGCTATTTTACTGATGTGAAAATTAAAAAAAAATGTTTTAATAATTTCTGATGTAATGTTTGTTACTATAAATATCTGCTGTACTTCTTTGCTCTCTCCACAAACTCTTTCTATAGAATAAGAAAGTTTCTTCAACACCGCGCGGAAATAAATTCACCTGTTTATCTTTTGCCATATTTTCAAATTGACATTTTTTAAAAGACTGTCTTTGTCCTCATAGCCAAGAAACTTTCCAAACGGCATACTTCCCAAAGAGTGTTCCGTTTTTGTAGAGAAAAAAAATGTTGCTTCAAATTTGCTATATCTAACTACATAAAACGAAAATTCTGTAATTAAAATATATTTCATAAAATAATTATACACATCGTGTCATGGGAGACAATTGTTTTTTCGTGTTGTTATTAAGTAGAAAATTTGAAGGCACATTATGCCTTAAAATATTTTCTCTTCCTGAGATGAGATTTATTGGAGATTAATAATATTTTATAAATAATTCACAACATATTAATGTTCATCAGCTCAGGTAAGAAAAGATTTATGTGAAAACATATGCCATAAAGGCAAAAAAAATGTTAATAAAGTAGTTTTTTGACTTTCATACAAAATAATTCATCGCTGCAATTACACGAATGGCCAACCAGTAACAGAAGCAGTAAATAGTTCAGAAATAGAGGATATTAAATGAGTGTATATTCAATTAGTGTAGATACTGAAATTATTGAACGAGTTGTATATCATGCGAGCTTCTGGCGAGCAGCATATTGTTTTTTTCAAGGAGTTCAATAAATTAAGGAATCAATCTACAAGAATATAATATTCTGTTCATCACATAACCAACAAAAGTCTGTTTACAGTGAAAATAATCCTCTTTTTCTTAACGCGCAAATGACGTCACTTCAAAATATATCAACGACCGTGCAAAACAGTTTGACGGAGTCGCAAAAGTGACATGGACATGTGAGAAATACAACTATTTATGTTTTTTAGAAATTGTAATTGAACAATAGAATTCATGGGTATTTGATAAAATAGCTTTTTCAGGCATAACGAGTCCACAAATGTCTATAATTATGTATGCCATAAACTGTAAATGGTTACATATTTTTGAGGTTGCCTGCACTGAAAAAGTTTTGTTTTATCACTCAGTAGTTGCATCAAAAGTATCTAAATCTTGTTTTAACATTTTTAAATTTTTACAATTTCGATGAATAATAGAAAATTATCATTAAGTTACCTCTTTTAGATCCTCATAATATACCAAAAAATGTTCTCTGTATCAATCCTACAGAATATGATTTTAATAGTTCTGTTTATACATTTGTCAACGTTCCCCCAACTATGTATGAGGGATGAAGTGTCTGGGGGAGCCCGGAATGTGGTGTCGTGTTCCCGCATGTAGATGACATAAAGTAATACGTATCCCAGCATTGTTTTTCAACATAATTCAATAAATTCAGAAACACATATTAAAAACCTCGATATTGTTCAACATTACCAGATCTATATTAGTTTTATTATTAATGCATGTAACAATTTTGATGGATAGAAAGTAATACCTTCGGTTCCGGTTCATGGTCTTTGTTGCATTCATTTTTTACTCTTAAATGACATATTCATCAATGGTATCCATTATTAGTGATTAAATAAACAACAATTGCATCCTCGAAGACAAAATTTGTACCAATCTTCAGCAGATTTGGATATGATTTGAACAAGATCAGCTGTCAAATTCCGTCAAATTTCATATGGGTACTTGCGGAAGTAACAAATCCCCATTGAAGAGCGGTGTACTGTATTACATCTCGGTAACCGTTACTAAGGATGTACAACACCAAAAGTAGCCTGTAAAATAAAAATAAGTAACAGACCATTAAAATGATATACCTGTTTATGGGGAGGAATACTTTTGCCTCTCATTGTGAGCATTTTGATAGCCTCCTCAATTAAATAAGTCAATTTTATAATTTCATTCCTAGGAAATCTTTATCTAGACAAAAGTTCTTTGTCCGTATATACGCCCAGGGCTTGTGAACGGTCCCGAAAGACACGTTCACGCCTTAAAGCACGTCTTTCATCAAACAA